AGGAAAGGGGTGGAAATAGGGAATGAATGAACATAGTGCATTATATCCACATACAAGTGTCCCAGAAAGAATCTCACCTGCACGTACACATAGGAAAGCCAATCAAAAGTAAATAATTAAATAAATAAACAGAGGAGTGGAAGGAGAAGAGAGAGTGGCGGGGGGGGGTAAGGGGAATGGGATTGAAATAAAATTCCTTGCATATATTATTTTGTCAAAATGAACCAAAAGATTAGGTATAAGTATTTTTTAAAAGGTGGAGCCTAGAAATTCAAAAAGACTCCAATAAATAGAAAGACATCCCATAATCTAGATTGGAAGATTTGAAATTATTAAGATGGCAATACAATGCAATGTCATCCTAATCAAAATACTGAATTCTTTCCCTTCCTTCCTTCCTTCCTTCCTTCCTTCCTTCCTTCCTTCCTTCCTTTCTTTCTCTCTTTCTTTCTTTCTTAAATGGAAAAGCTTATCTTCAGATTAATGTAGACCTGCAAGAGGCCCCAAATAGCCAAAACAATCTTGGAAAAGGACAAAGTTTCAGGACTCCTACTTCCTGATTTCAAAACTTCCGACCAAGTTTCAGTAATCAGAACAGTACGGTTCTGACATAAGAGCAGACATACAGACTGACAGAACAAAATTGAGAGTCCTGAAATAAACCCATACCGCTGTAGCCACTTGAATTCCACAGGACGATAAGACCGTTCAATGGAGAAAACAGTCACTTTATCTAGTGGTGCTGGGACAATGAATATTCACATGCAAAGAAATGAAACTGGACCCACCTCCTACCATATGCAAAAATTGATTCAAAATGAATCAATGATTTTAATATAGGAACTGTGAAATACATAGAAGAAAAACATAACTTAATCTTCATTATCTCGTATTGAGCAATGAGTGGATCATTAGAAATTATACAAGTGGGTAAGGTGATGCACCCCTGTAATCCCAGCAACCTAGGAGGCTAACGCAGGAGGATCACAAGTTCAAGGTCAGTTGGGCAATTTAGTAAGTCCTTCAACAACTTAGCCTGACCCTGTCTCAAAATAAAAAGAACTGGGGATATAGCTCAGTGGTCAAGCATCCCTGGGTTCAATCCTCAGTACCCAAAAATAAATAAATAAAGGAATCGGAAAAGAGGGAGGGAAGAGGAGAGGGAAAGAGAAAATACTGTAGATTAAAGTGGAACAAAGTATATTCCATGTATGTATGACTATGTCAAAATAAATCCCAATGTTATATATGATCATAATGCACTTATTATAAAAATATCTTTAAAGAAAAATAAATAAAAATTTAAAAATAAATGGTGCCAAAAACAGCCACAAAAGAAAGAAAATCGATAAACTGAACTTCGCTAAAGTTAAAATCTTTTTCCGATAACTCTTAATAACATGACTACATTAGATAAATTCTATATTTTGAGATATTTGTAGCCTTTTGAGTCTGTGGTCACCAGGTCAGTCTTTATGCAAACATAACGAAGGAAAAAAAAACTGGGAGAAAAAAGTTTAAAATTTTTGTATATCCGAATGACTTGTCCAAGAAACGAAAGAACCACCTATAATACTGAAAAATCATATATCTCATAAGGGTATCCACAATAGCTAAAGAACTCTTTCAATTTAAGAATAAGATAGAAAACTCAATCACCAAATGGGCAGAAGATTCAAATACAAATTTCTCCAAAGATTTTTTTTTTTTAAAAGGCCAGCAAACACAGGAAAATATGCACAACGTCTGTTATCGTTTGGATGGGAGTGTCCCCCAAAAGCTCAGGTGTGAGAAAAGGCAAGAAAGTTTAGAGGAGAAATGATTGAGTTACGGGAGCCTTAATCCCCTGATGGAGATTAACTAAGTGGTAAGTGAAGGTGGGTAAGGTGTGGCTGGAAGAGGCGGGCATTGGGACGTGGCTTTGGGACACATTTTTTTGTGTGTCTGGCAGGTAGAGACCCTCTCTGCTTTCTGGTCATCATGTGAGCCACATTCCTGTACCACACTCTTCCGCCATGATGTCCTGCCTCTCCGTGAGCGTCCAGGAATGGAGCTCGCCTTCTATGGACTGGGCCCTCTGAAACCGTGAGCCCTCTAAATAAACTTTTCCTCTCCTAAAATTGTTCTTCTCGGGTCTTTAAGTCACATTAGCAAAAAAGCTGACTAAAACAACATCATCAGTTAGGAGAGAAGAGCAAGCAAACCACAGTGAGATGCCATTCAGATGAATACAAATTTTTTCAAAAAGAAAAAAGTGTGTAGGGAAATTGAAGTCCTGTGAATGTCTGAAAGAAAGTTTAAGTGATTCGGCTGATTTGAAAGGCTTGGAATCCTCAAAAAGTTGAACATTAAATTAACTGATGATCCAAGTTTGCTGGATATTTTTACCCAAAAGGATTTAAAACAAGTACTCAAAACAATTCGTGTACATAAATGTTAATAACTGCACTATTGGCAATCAGCAAAGGGTGGAAATAGCTGAAATGTCTCTAAATAGATGAGTGGATAAGCAGATCGTAAGACACATATACAATGGAATGTTATTTAGCCATAAAACTTTACTGATTGTGGTACATGGTAAATGAACCTCAAAAACTACTGGAATGAGACTTCTCATTTGTTTTGGCAAACACTCAAAAGCATGATGATACATTCTATCAGTGAGGCCGTGGGAAATATGCTTCCATTGTTAGTGGCGTAGCAATGGTCCACTTGATGCTCTGAATACAGCCCTTGCTTCTCTAAAATTGACATCTTTTTTCTTCCCGACCTTCTCCTCCTGACGTGCTCCTCCCTGATCCTCTCCTCTTGATCTTCTCTTCCCTGATCTTCTCCTTCCTAATCTCTCCTCCCTGACCTTGGGAAACGGAGCACATGGGAATGTAGCCTTTGAATCACCGTTTTCCCCCTGATGGGCAGAATCACAGACTCTGCGAGAGGCGTCCCCTGTATTTCTCCTTTGGTAGCAAAGCAATAAAACTTTTTTTTTCTTTTTCTCAAAACTGGGTCCTCATTTATTGGATTGGCATCAGGAACAAGGATGAAGCTTTTGGTAACAGTAGCAGTACAAAATGGTGCAGCCTTAATGGAGTGGAATTTGGCAATATCTAATAAAACTATATATGCATTTCCCCTATCTTTTTCTTTTCCAGTTTTTTTTTTTTTTGCCCCCAGCACTAAAGATTGAACCTAGAGCCTCGCACATCTAGTCAAATGCTTTACTGCTGAGCCCTTCTTATTTTACTTTGAGATAGGGTCTTGCCAAATTGTCCAGGTTGGCCTCAAATTTGTGATCCTCTTTTCTCAGGCTCCCGAGTAGCTGGGATTGCCAGTGTGCACCACTGCACCCAGTTTATGCCTTTACCCTTTAACCAACAATCACACTTAAAATTGCTACCCGATGCCATACTTCCAACATCACAGAAAACATACCCATGCTTTTTCATTGCAGCATTATTTGTACTAGCAAAATCTTAGAAAGGAGACACATGTCCATAGAATAGAGACTGGCTAGACGACAGGGTGGTGCGTGCACATGGTGGTATGGAAATGCAGCTGTTAATGAGCGGAGCATCGCCGTGAACTGCTCTAGACTAATTTCTAGGATGTATCGTCAAACCAAAGCAACAACATGAAAGTAAGTATGTTTGTGCAAGGAAAAAAGGGGGAGTGATGAATTCCAAAAATTAATTATCTTTATCCTACACAAAACTTCCCAGAGAATTAATTAATAATAAATTAATTACGCAGCACATCCAATGAGGGCTGATACCATCCTGGTACCAGAAGGGAAAGTTACAGGCCCAATTTACTTATGAACATAAACGTTAAATCTTTAAAAATTAATAAGTGAAGGAATGACAGAAAGATGGGTAGAGTAGAGGGGGGAGAAAATGACAAGAGGGGAGGGGAGGAAATGTAAGGAACTGGTGATTGAAATCAAATTCCTAGCGTGTATGATCTTTTCAAAGCAAATCCAAATACTGTGTATAACTATGATCTCTAGTTTAAAAAAATAAAACACACACACTTTCAAAAATCTAACCAAATACACAAAAATCACATTACCATAAAAATGCAAGAAGAGCTTTGTGTTAAAAAGTCTTTATCGGCGTAATTCATTACATTAACAAATTCACAGAGGAAATGATGTTATCTTCTCAACGAATGTAGAAAAGAGCAATAGAAGTCATTTTACATAAATTAATGCAAATCTTCTGGTTATGCCAAGATGAAAGAGAACTTTCTAAACCTGGTGAAGGGTGCTTACGAGAAACCTAAAACAGACCACACAAAAAGGAGAAATTTAAGAAGCTTCCATTTTAAATCGGGTGTTAGATTTCTATTCAACAATATACTAGGGAGCCTGCCCAGCTCAAGACACAATAGAAATGGTGTGAAGCTTTGACAGGAAAAGGACGACCGTTATCATCTACAGATGATGAGCTCTGAAAAGAAGACACGGGAACCTTAGGATGAACCCTGGGAGAACACAGCCAGCGCAGACCCGGAAGCGTTTCTCCTCCTCCAGCATCATACAAAAGGAAAAAACCAAAAAGTTATGATACTTTTCACAATTTCATTTTTAAAATGTAAGCCTCTGGGAATAAATGTAACAAAGACATGTAAGATCTCCCCAGGGAAAACTTACTTTAGACACATTTTGAAGTTGTAAATAAGACTTCCATGGTAGAACATGCGCTTGGCATGCCCGAGGCCCTGGGCTCCATCCACAGCATCATCCGAAAAAAAACCCTGTGTAGACAGAGACCTCCCGGATGGGCTGGAGGAGGAGTGGACTTGGAAACACTGTGGGCCCTGCACTGTGTGTGCTGGGGAGGTGCTTGGGTTTCTGCCAGGCCCCGCCTTGATGGGAATAGACAGAAGAAGCCAGGCCCAGGAGGCCTCCCGGGCCGGGCTGCTTTCTCCCTCTCCTCCTCACAGCAGCACCTGGTCAAAACCAGCTGGGCCAGGACGTCCCCACCCATCCTGGTGGCACCATGGCGTCTTTGCTGCCTCTCCAGTTCCTGCTGCTGCTCTGTGTGGCACTGCAGCAGTTGTCTGGGAGTCTCAAGGAGCGCTTTCTGAGTAGGTGAGGGGTTGGGGTCCAGTGGGGGGCAAGCGGCCTCCGCGGAGAGGAGAGGATCTGTGAGCAGACCATCCAGGATATGTCATGAAAAAACAGGGTCGTGTTCAGAGCGCGAGCTTTGTTGTCAACAAGATCTCAGTTTGGATCTCTGCTGTTTGGTGACTGCATGACCCTGGGCCAAGTGTCTGGATTGGCACTGAGATAGTTAGGAGGAAAAACTGAAATAATGTGTGCAGGGAGCTCTCTCCCTAGACCTTGGTACATGTTCTGTAAGTTTACTTACCGTGTTATCAGCCTCCTCTCCACTCTAGTCTTGCTGCCCTGGTTCCTTCCAAGAGGCTTGGTCCTACTTTTCAGGCATTTAAACAGGCAGGAAAATGAAATGGTAGAACTCAAATTGCAATCTACACAGCCTTGGCCTCGGAGCATGTTTGGGGAGGAAGAAGTCTTTCATTGTATTTCACTTTTTAAAAAAAAGTGGTGGAGGTGGAGCTGGGGCTCAGTGGTAGTGCACTTGCCTGGCATGCGTGAGGCACTGAGTTAGATTCTCAGCACTGCATGTAAGTAAATAAAATAAAGGTCTATCAAAAACATATATCAAAGGTAATATATGTACATAGATGTATGTATATATATGTGTGGGTGTGTATATATATCTTCAGAGGTAGTGCGCGATCTCCAGGAATTATCATCAACTGGACAGTACAGTCTATCTCAGCCACCATGGCTGTCCAGCTCAACCTAACAAGGAAAGTAATGCTAACCTTGACCTGAACAACAAATGGGAACAGAACTACTATTCTTCCTGAATGCACTCTTCTGTGGGGAAACCTCTTCAGAATATTTGGGGCTGGGAAAAGGAACGTGTCTGATAGACAGGTTTCAGAGCAGGATAGGTCCTGTTTCAGGAGCTCGGGGCAGACACGATGTAGGAGGACTGGAGGGGCTGAGCCAGCTGCAAGAGCGTAGGAGTACCCAAGGCCAATTAACTGGGAATCAAGGGCTATGATTTGAGGAGAGACGCCAAAGTCTTTAGGGAAGACTGGCACGTGTTGGAGTGAGACTGGAACCAGACATCGGACAGGAGCAAGACCTGAGGAGAGCGACCTCTCTGAGATCCCTGGCTCATGGCCTCCTTTCCCACACTGCTCCACTGAACCCCAGGCTCTTCCAACTGGAGACTGGCTCCAATGTCTCGCCCTGCCCCAGTGAGCTGTGTCTGGGAAGTGCAGAGTGAGGGCTGGTGACTGATCTCTGGAACTCAGCTGCTCTCACCCATCTCTAGTGCCAGTTGTTTAAGTGACAGCCCCAACCTCCTTCTTCATTCATCTCTTTCAGCTCATCAAGATGTCCTACAGATCTCCCGTCTAACTGCAGATTTTTTCAGAGCAGTCAGCCAACTAATTGGCAAGAGATGCCCCGTCTATGAATTTGGCCCCAAGAAAGGACAAATCATAGAATACAAAAATGAGGGCCTGGTACAGGTTGGGGAGAGGGGTTAATGGGGCCCCAACTTAATGCCTTAGATTCAGGAACAGAGAGGGGACTGTGAGTTGGGGCATTTGGATGGTATCTCTCACGGGAAGTGGGTCTAAGCTTTGAGATGAGACGTGGGGGGTGTCAACATGAAGATGATTCTTCTTTAACAGTAGGAAGCAGGGCATCCTGGGCTCTGGGCTCCTAATCAGGAGGTACCAGAGGAAAGAAGACGAATCAATGCACCACATTCTGAAATTCACTCCCTTCTCACCACGAAAGAAGTCATTCCCAGAACTCACCTATGAATTGGGTCCTTCCTCTCTGATCCAATACCTTCAGTTGGTTGTGTGGCCTTCATCCTTTCCCAAAACTGACCTTCCGTTTACTCTTTCTCTACCCAAACAGCCTGTGTTAGTTGACCCTACAACAAACTATGATGTTAAAGAGAAGGTTTACGGCTTGCATAAGACCACCCAATGAACAAGTGAAGAAAGGGTACACAATACCTCTCGTTACTCACCTTCCACCTTCTACTCACACCCACAACTAGACCCAACCAGAGTCCATGGGGACTAGGCAGCGGACTTACCGTGGTCGTGAATGACCCGTGGATTCAGGTTTCTGCCAAACTCTGTCTTTGATCAAATATCCAAACCCTGGTTCACCGACCAGAACTCAAGGAAGACAAACCCGATTCCCTCCCTGGGGACCACACAGGAGAGAGTAGGTGGCAAGTTCCTGGGCTTTCTGAGCTTTGAGTGTGACTTCAGCCTGTGGCTCAGGCCCTGCGCCTACTTATTCTTGTTTCAGAATACATCTTGGAGCCTCCACCCTGCAGATCAGAACCTGAGGACTGTTCGAGTTTCTGCACGGTCCAGGAAGATTGCAAGGCCCAAGGACTTAGCTGCTGTGCTGCCTTCTGTGGGGCGATCTGTTCACTAAACATGCCTCCGGAACCCCCAAACTGAGGGACCGCCCTATCCTAGAGCTGCCGGCGGGAGCCCAACAGAAGAGTCTCAGCCACTGTCACGGTTCCTTATTTCTTTATTTTTTGGTTGTTATTGCTCACATATTACCAACACTCCTTCTCTTTCCAAGATTAAGATTTCCACCAAGTCCTGACTAGAAGAGCCTCCTCCAGTCCTAACCCTTCCTCCCCACCACTGCATTATGAAATCTCTGACTCTGCTTCTCTGAACACACCCCAAAATGACTGCATCCACAGACCTTCCCCCGGCCCAGAATCCACCTTTACCCCAGACTGCCTGGAACACTATTCCTGGGGTCTGGAAGTGTCCTCAAAACCCCAAACAAGCGTGGGTCTCTGCTTTGGCCTGCCCTCCTGCCACCAGCCGTCATTTAGGGGACCCTGCATTCTGACCCTGGAGGGCCAGCTCCGGGAAGCTGTGGTTAATGGCCCTAAATCTGCTAAAGGGAGAATGCTCTGGGACAGAGAAAGAACACGAAGGTGCGGAGGAGACTTCTGGTTTTGAATCTTGCTTTGGGAATATGTCTATCACCTTCAGGAAAATGATTCCTCACTTTTGATCTTTGTTTTTCTCATGAATAAAATGCAGACTCTGTTTTGTTTTGGTTTGGTTTGTTTTTTTTCCTGCTAGCAAGACCAGTCTCAAAAACCCACAGTAGGAAATTGACCAAAGAGCTTCTTGAGAGAAGCACGACTGTCTTGTTCTCCTCTGTTTCCCCTGCCCAAGCGCAATCCCCAGCCTATGAGACAGGTTTGGAGCTCTTAGGTATGCACTCAGAGCCAAATACCCAGTCTCTACCACTTCTTAGCTGAGTGACCTTAACAAACTAACCTCTCTATGGGCATTAGCCTCCTCATTTTAAAGACGGAACAATATTAGTGAGATCAAGATAAACAATCCATATAAGCTTGAAAACATTGCTTGGCACATAATAATTGCTCAGTAAATTTTAGTGATCAGATAACCACTTTTCTCTCAAGAGACTGGCCCTTACAAATAATCCTTATACATCTTTCGAGGCTTTGGGATAGAACACCAGAAGCCAAAAAGATGAGTCACTGAGGTTTTTGAGGTTCTGCTTGGCCTATGGCAGGAGAACTCCGCTTTGTGGTCTAGTTTCAGTGGTGGAAGTCATAGAAAATAAAAATCAAGTCTCCAAGAATAAACTGCGCTGGATGTCACTTGAAGACATTTTTCGTCAGGGACAGAAATGTTAGTGAAGGAACTTTGGAGACCCCATGCCTGACAACTGAGGTATGTTCCCCCAAAGCGCTTTGTGGGTGCAGGCTTGCCTGGCCTCTGGGATGGCATCTCCCGGGGCTGCTCCTTTTCCTCCTGTGGCCGCCCAGGGTCACACGAGGCCAGAACAGTCTTCTGAAGGCCAGTCTGCCTGGTCTTCCACCCTCCAGGTCCTATCCCTGTGCTCCCTGGGGCGGGGTACAGTCCCAGGAGAGTTCTGCAACACAGAGCAACAGAGGGCAGAGCTATGACCCAAGGGTGCACAGGGCACTTCGATCTGAGGCTCTGCCAGGAACAGGCTCTTCCTGCCTCCAGGGTGACAGCACCCTAGGCAAGGAGTCCAGCCGAGCGCTTCGTGTGTGTGACTTTGGTCATCCCACTGTACTTCCCCAAGACCGTCGACTCTTTCATGTGGAAGATGACAAAACATCCATGCCTTGGGGGATTGTGGGGACACACAAAGCCACATGGATGAAGAACTTAGGCATTTCCTTAAAAAAAAAAAAAAACAGGTGGAAGATCACCTTTAGAACTTTCTCAGTGTTATAAGCATGGGGAAAAATGCAGGCTCCCATAACTCCACCACCCAAACAATAATAGTCATCACAATCTGGTGCTTTTGTTTCAAGGACTTTGGGGGACATTAGGAATCGAGGGTCCTCTCATTGTCCTGATATCACTACAGTAAACGTGGTGTTGAGCTGGCGCTGTCTTGGAGCTTCACGCTTGTGCTAAGCGTGGACAGTGTACACTGGCAGGCGAGGGACAGTGCAGGGGCACAAGTGCATGAACTCCTGCTCAGGACCCCGTGGGCCCGTCTAGCTCACTTCTTGTGGCACCTTGGGCACAGCTGACTGCTCACACCAGATGTCAGCCACCGGCCCATGTGTCTACGAGGTCAGATCCTCGGGGCTCCTGCAGCAGGTAAGTGGTAAGAACCCTGCTCTTAGACCCAGGTAAAGGCCAACGAAATGTGGCTGATGACACTATATTTTTATTGCCATGTCAGGGTCAAATGGCCACACAATGGGTACATATGACTTTGTAAGTCTCACTCTAATGCTTTGCCCAATGAGGCAGGACTTCATCTTGGACAAGCAGGAAAACATGATCATGAACCTGAGATGTCTTCCGTGGGAACTGGAAGTGCTGACCCTGTTATCTTCTGATAGGCTTCCCTTAGCACATTCACTGTCACACCTGCGGTCTCCACGGGTCCAGAGTTCCTCCCCTTCCCCAGCAGCCATCTCCTGCACACTGCTTGCTGTGGACAGGCCTGTGGAGCTGGGTGGGCGGGCCCGGGGAGCGGGAGACAGGGTGCTGGAGAGGGCCTCCCAAGATGCTGAACTTGTTCCCAGAAAGCACAGTGTTGAGTTCTGCAAGGCCACCTGGAAGGGAGGACCCCGGGGCCAGGCCGGCCTTGTCACAGTCTTCCACCAAACCGTGGGCTCTGGAGACTGTGGTTAAGGGCTCCCAACTTTTTAATGTCAACTAACGTTGTAGGCCATCTCATTCATTCCTCACCGCGGCCATGATTCTCAGGTCACAGACAAGGAACTGGGAACACAGAGCTGAGGGGATCGGAACCGTCTCCATCAACTAGCGGAGCAAGGGTTAAAACTCAAAGCTTGAGATATCTAAATGCCTTCCCCAAGGGCTGGCCACGGGCGGCTCACCTGTTCTGAGTGGGTTTCCTGCTTCCACTCAGTTGATCCTCTTCCCCCTGCTTACAACTAGGCCTCATAACTCCTCAGTCCCTTTCTACTAGGAGCTGCCCACTGGACCGTCCGTCTCTCTGTCCCCATGCAGCCCCTCCCTCCACATTCTGCCCTCGCTCTTCTCTCTGCCCTCCCTGGCTTCCCTCCAGTTTCCTGCTGAGCTACTCCTTAGGCTTCAAGGTTCACATTCAACTTAAAACTCCATGGAACTTTCACCAGCTCACTCCAGACAAAACCAGTCGCTCTCTGTGTCTCCTCCCAGTGTCCTTCCACCTACCACAAACCATGACACGCTGTGTTGTGGTTATTTAAGTGACTATTCTTCCTGTCTGGAGTCTGAGTCCCACGGAAGCAGAAACCATGTCTGATTTTGCCCTAGAGCCCTGGCACCTAGCGTCACGTCTTGCACACAATAAGGACAGAATACAGACGTTTCCAATAGAAATGAGAAGAGGCTGCGGGAGCAGGTGAACCCTGACCTCCCATGAGCTGTTCTTGCAAGAAAAATCCTCCTCCCTGAACGATCCAGAGTCCCTCAGATGGAAGTGCCCACTTCAGTTTCCCCCTGGAGTCAGACTCAGTCTTTAAACTGTTTTTAAACTGATTTATATTTGCTTATAGAAAATTATAATATATAGGAAAACAAATAAAAAAGAAGTTTAGAGGATCTGTTCACACAGGGATGAGAAGAGCAAGGGTGAAAGGTCCCTGCTACTCTGTGGGACTCGGTCCAGCTCTGCCCTCATCATGGTGATGCGGAGCCTCTCCTAATCCTCAGAGCCCTAGTCTGTCCACCTGTAAAATGGAGATTAAGAATTCCTATTCTTCAGGTGTGTCGTGACGATGCAATGAGGTGACACCAGAAACTCTCATGCTAGATTGCCGGCAGAAGGCCTAGGAAGAATGTTACTGTTATTATTCAAGAATGCCAATCCTTCCTTTATCCAAGATTCTTATTTTTTTCATTTCTGCATATTCCGAATAAATTAACTCAAGTTAATGAAAGCAAGTACAGTATTTTCTGAGCTACTAAATATCATCTCAAGAAGAAGCAAGGCACAGCTGTAGAAAGTACTGCATCCTTGAAAGAT